CTCTCTCTCTCTCTCTCTCTCTCTCTCTCTCTCTCCCCCCACACACACACACACACACACACACACACCCCCCACACACACACACACACACACACACACACACACACTCTCTATATATATATATATATATATATATATATATATATATATATATATATATATATATATATATAGTACATATGTGTGTGCGTAAATGTGTATTTTAATGGTGGGGGGGCTCCAATGTTTGTATATGCTCATGGGGGGGGCCCCTAAGAAAAAGGTTGGGAACCACTGCACTATTCTACGCCATTTTGTAGTATAAATAATGTAAGTTGTGCGTTCACACTGAAAACTCTAAAAATAATAAGTGCACTTTAATTACCCGGATGATGCACTCATTCAGCCGCTACAATGAAGTGTGTAATGATGGACACTTCACCGACTCAACGACTGCAGGTTTGCTCACGTAGCGGAAGGGGCGGAGATATCCGGCGCACATGTTGGATAACTTTATTTATTTTGGATGGTGAAAGCAAAATTATCCTATGAGATTGATTATAGCGCCTCCCGATGGTGAATGCAATTTTACTCATGGCAGGTATTATTTGATAGTTTGCTCATTTATTTCACTGATTTGGCGACCATCAATCGTCATCAGAGAAACGGTTTGAATTTCCGCTTGGTAAAAAAACATTAGTGCTCCATTTGGGACGACACTACATACATGTACTTTGCTATTGAGTGTGTAAGTGCATAGTGCATGAGTGCATAGTGTATAGTGTGCCATTTGGGACGCAGCTCATGTTTGAGCACTCACTACCTACTGTTAGAGCTACGGTTGCGTTACTTATCCTGCTTTTTTCCTCTCTCTTGTGTCTTCCAGATGTGCAGTGGACTGGTGGCTTCACCTCGTCCTTGAACACTAAACTCAAAGAGGCCATCCTTGACCTTCACTGACTTTCATTTGTGACTGAAAGCCTCAAACACAACCCGACCGTCTCCGTCTCTCTCCACCCTCTCCATGGCCAATCTTCTGAGTTATGTGTTATTCCTGGCGCTCCGCGCATACGCCGCTCCTCCAGAGTACATCCAGCGGTGGCCCGACGGCTTCACACCGGCTCCCGGAGATCCCTCAAACGATTCAGTCACTCCGTCACTGATCCCGCCCCCGGGATCCTCCAAACACCCACCCCACAGCATCATCATCGGCGTCCGTAAGGGAGGCACCCGAGCCCTGCTGGAGATGCTGGATATCCATCCTGAAGTGGCGGCAGCTGCCACTGAAGTCCACTTCTTTGATTGGGATGAGAACTACAGTAAGGGTTTTGATTGGTATCGAGAGCAAATGCCGTACTCCTACCCGACTCAAATCACAATTGAGAAAACACCGGGGTATTTCACATCTCAAGTGGCGCCGGCGAGGATCCACGCGATGAATTCATCTATTAGGCTCTTGCTGATCCTTCGGGATCCCACCGAGCGGGTGATCTCGGATTACACGCAGGTCTATTTCAACCGGCTGGAGAACCACAAGCCCGTGCAGGCCATCGAGAACATGCTGGTGAAGAACGGAGCGCTGAATACGCGCTATAAAGCCATCCAGCGCAGTCTGTACGATGTGCACATGAGGAACTGGCTCCAGCACTTTCCCCTGGAGCAGATCCATATTGTTGATGGAGACACGCTGATCCACGACCCGCTCCCGGAGCTCCAGAGAGTCGAGCGCTTCTTAGATCTGCCGCCGCGGATTGAAGCCTCCAACTTCTACTTTAACCAAACTAAAGGCTTCTACTGCATCCGCAGCGATGGTCACGAGCGCTGTTTGCACGAGTCGAAAGGGCGTCCGCATCCTCCGGTGAACAGTAATGTGCTGCGGCAGCTGCGCTCGTATCTGCGCCAACACAATCGGAACTTCTACCGGCTCATAGGACGCACTTTTAACTGGCAGTAAGAGGGAGGTTCTGACCAATCACAGCCCGGATGAGAGGCTGATTGACAGCTGATGGACTATATAAACCACCCACCCTTCTCCCGCCCAGCTTCTGATAGTAGGGGTGTGCGATACCTAAAGGATTAGTTCAGCCAGAAGTGAATATTACCCCATAATTTACTAAACCTCAATTTTTTCTGGCCAGACAAACACAGTCTAGTTTTATATTGTTTCCTGGTTCTACACAGGTGTCAAACTCAGTTCCTTGAGGGCTGTAGCTCTGCACAGTTTAGTTCCAACCCTAGTTAAACACACCTGATCAAACTAATTGAGTCCTTCAGGCTTGTTTGAAACCTACAGGTGTTGGAGCAGGGTTGGAACTAAACTGTGCAGAGCAGCGACCCTCCAGGAACTGAGTTTGACACCCCTGTTCTAAGCTATATTGAGCTTATTCTTGATGGACAGTCAGGCACAGCCATTGGAATCTTTATAGCTGGAGACTTCCACTCTAATTCACTTCCATTCATTCTTTCGGCTGCGGGATGTCGCAAACTGATATTTTCTTACTATATTAGTCTACTTTTTATGTATAGTCATGAACACACTTGTTTGTAGAGCAATAGTTTGATTGTTTTCTGCTTATTATTATTATTTCTGCGGTGGATAACTGAATTGGAAGTTCTAAAACAGTTGTAAAAACCAACCCTAGCTCATTCTGGAAACGTAGCCCCGCGGACGTTTCTGGAGACCGCGATTTACGTGGCCGGAGGTGCGTAAAGGGCGCGTTTGTTTTTTTTCAAGTGAACGCTGCGGGGTGGTGTGGCGCCGCTCCGCCCCTCCTCTTCGCGCTCGCCGGCCGACGGCTCGCCTCCAGGTGGAGGGCTTTCCCGATGCAATCAGTTTGTCCGCTTAGCTCACAGCGTTGCGTCGGCGGAGCGGAGGCCCCGGAGGAGGAGCCGGAGCCGGCCACGGTGGACGACGACCGGGATCGAGTCCGGGGAACAGCAGGTTCCGGAAATCAGGTAAGACGGAAAACGGAATCCGAAAAATAAGGGCGAGAACGCGGCGGGATCCGAAAACGCGGTCGAAATCGAAGACGAGGGCTTTTGCTCTTTTTTTTTTTCGCTAGAGAACGGCGCGGGCGCAAACGCCGCGCGCTCCTGAGAGGCGCCCGAGACGCGAAAAAGCACGCACAGCGAAAACAAAAAAACGCTCGAATACGTACCTCCCGGGACGTAAATCGCGTTCCGCAGAAACGTCCGCGGGGCTACGTTTCCACAATGAGCCCAGGTTGGTAAAAACAGAACAAGGCCAATAATTATGCTGCATAGTGACTTTTATTTTGAAACTTATAAAAGCACCCTGCTTTGACTGAACTCTTTACTTTATGATCTGAGTGATCTGTTGGGTTCGTATTCAGTGAGCATATCTGTGATGTATTGAGCTCCTAAAACATTTAGTGATTTATAGAGCAGTAATAATACCTAAAAACTATTCTGAATGTAACTGGCAGCCAGTGTAAAGACCTGAGGACAGGTGTGATGTGCTCTAGTTTCCTGCATCTGGTCAGAATCCTGGCCGCAGCGTTCTAGATGAGCTGCAACTGTTTTTTTTTTTTGGGAAGGCCCTTGAGGAGGCTGTTACAGTAATCCATCCTACTGCTGATAAAAACATGAACAAGTCCTCACTGGAAACAAAGCATCTAATTCCTGCAATGTGTTTGAGATGACAGTATGCTGATTTAGTTACTGCTTTGACAGGATTATTGAAACTCAGATCTGAGTCCAGAGTCACACCAAGATTCTTGACCTTATTTAATGTTGTTTGACCCTTATAGCCAAGGTATGCATTCACCTTGAGAAGCTCATCTATTTTCCAAAACGCAATGACTGCAGTTTTCTCTTTGTTTAACTGAAGGATGTTTTGGCACATCCAACTGTTCATTTCATCAATGCATTAGCAGAGGGTGTCAATGGGGCTGTAGTCATTAGGCAGTAAGGCTAGGTAGATCTGAGTGTCATCAGCATAGCTGTGGTAGATTTGTGGGAGATTTGGTTCTTTCGCATCATTTGGCTCAGAGTAATCATATAAAGGTTGAACAGCAGAGATGCCAGAATTAAACCTTGTGGGACTCTTCGTGCCATGGGTGTCCACCTTGACGGTCACCTATACTGACATAGTATATATAGCATGGAAGAACCAGGATAACATTTAAAACCTCTCCAACTGTGTTCATCTCACAGAAAAAAAGTCACCCCAAGGTTGGCTTGAAGGTGAATTAATTATGAGGCAGGGTTTCCGTGGGGTCTTAAAGTCTAAAAATGTCTTGAACCTCAAAAACTTAAATTTAGTTTGAAATCTACTCGTAGGCCTTAAATCTTTTGATTTTCCGTTGTTTGTGCAGAGCTACCCAATCTGGCCAACACCCATACCATCACCAACAATCCATCTCAGTGAAACGTTTAACTTTCTATTTAAATATTGCATTTTTAACTCTACTTATCGTAACTGTTTAATTACTTTACTTACGGTAACTTTTGTTTAAGAGTTCTCCATTTTCCTATTTACTATTGAGGATTCTGACCTGACCTATCTATTTTTTTATTATTAAATTATTATCACTGTATTATTAAATGTATTAAATTATATTTATTTTTCTGAAAGGGCAAGTGAAAATCTTTCCCTGCAGGGATATTCGGAAAAACATCTTTAGCATTTAGTCAACCCAGGCTCATTCTGGAAACGTAGCCCCGCAGACGTTTCTGGAGACCGCGAAATATGTGCCGGGAGGTAGTATTTGTGCAGTTTTTGTTTTCACGAATCCGCGAGAGGCCGCCGTGCGTGATTTTTCACGCCTCGAATGCTTGCTGTTCGCGCCGGCGCTGTTCTCGCGTAAAAAGCCACCAGAATCCGCTGTCGAGCGACCGTCTGTCCGACTGAACGACTGACTAGCCGCCCTCCTCCTCGTCCTTCTCTAAACTCAAGCGACGATTTACAAAAGCCGTGCGGAAAAAGAAAAGCCCTCGTCCGATTTTGACCATGTTTTCAGATATCACTGCATTCTCGCCCCGTTACGAACTCGTTTGCTTTATTTTTTGGATTCTGTTTTTTGTCTTACCTGATTTCTGGAATTGCACTTCTCCGCACTCGACCCTGGTCTCGAACGTGCCCGGCTCCTCCTCTGGGCCTCCGCTCCGCCGACGTAACACGATGAGCTAACCGGACAAACTGGTTGCGGCGGGAAAGCCCTCCACATGGAGGAGGTGAGCCATCAGCCCAGCCGGCGAGCGCGAAGAGGAGCGGCGTCACACCGCCCCGTAGCATTCGCTTGAAAAAACAAATACGGCCATACGTACCTCCAGCCTCGTAAATCACGGTCTCCAGAAACGTCCGCGGGGCTACACTTTCAGAATAAGCTTGGGTTGCATTTAGTCCTGTATATGTCTAAAATTTAATTCACAATGGTCTTAAAAATTCAACTTGGTGTGACCTGCTGAGACCCTGTGGGGAAATTTGGGTGAACGACTCCTTTAATTAGTGACATAATGGAGTTTTCTGAAAAGAGCAAACAGAGTCTATATGTAATGAGTGTGTGACATTAGAATAAACCAATAATTCAAGTTATGAAAGTTAAAATATCCCTGTGTGGTGTATGTTTTTATATTTATAAGATATGATATAGGTCAGCAACATCACACAAGCAAAAATGCCGTTTTCCTGAAGATCAGTGCTTGATTTTGCAGTTTTACATTAGTTCAATAAACATCATGTTTAAATATCGAGTGAGAAACATTTCAGACACAATATTGTTTGTATTTTGTTCCACAAATGAGAACATCTCAGAGCAACACTGTGCTGTTTTGTTCATGAATCTGTTTCAGAATGAATCATTTGATTCAGTGATCCATTCATAAAGATCCTGTGCTGATCCATTTTTTGGCACAGTGAGTCGTTTGCTTTGTTTCTAAATGAACAAATCGATTAAATGACGTTCGCACAGAGCCAGTTCTTGTTTATATTTTCTGTTTTGCCAATGAAACTAGTTCAGACAAAGCTAGTAGAAATGTATACATCCTAAAGCAGCACTGCATTGTTTACTTCCTCAATGAATCTGTTTCTGAATGATTCATTTGAGTCAGTGATTCAACTATGCTTTCATAAAGTCCCTGCATAACCATTTTGGATGCAGTGAGTCGCTTGCTGTCACAGCTGTTTTGAATGAATTGATTGAATGAAAGACGGGGACTTGTGCAAATACTGCCATTTTTTTCAATATATTTTCTTTTTCGCTGATAAAAAAATAGCTAAAAAACAGCATATCAGAGCAGAAGATGTGGACATTTCAGAGCAACACTCAAAAACGTGAGTCATTTGCTTTGTTTCTAAATAAATCAGCTGTTTTTAAATGAATCAATTGAATAAATGACTGAGACTTGCACACATACACATTTTAGTCTGTTTTGGTTTTCTTAATGAAAAAGTTTCAAAAGCCAGAGCAGAAAGGGTTTGCATCTCAGAGCTTTGTTGAATCTGATTCTGAATGATTCATTTGAGTCAGTGATTCAACAGTTAATTTCTAAAGTTAATGCACTGATCCATTTTTGAGATATTTAGTGAGATATTTGCTTTATTTCTTAAGGAGTCAACTCTTTTGAATGAATCAATTAAATAAATGACTGAGACTTGCACACATACTGCCGGTTTGTGTCTGTTTTTGTTTTGCCAATGAAAATTGTTTAAAAAAACAGCAGGAGCAGAAAATGTGTGCATCTCCGAGCCTCAGTGAATCTGATTCCAAATGATTCATTTGAGTCAGTAATTCAAAAATTTGTATTTAATGTACCTGTGTTGATACATTTTTGCCACAGTGAGTCATTTGCTTTGTTTCTAAATGAATCGGCTGTTTTGAACAAATCGATTAAATGACGTTCGCCCAGAGCCAGTTTTTGTTTATATTTTCTGTTTTGCCACTAAACCTAGTTCAGACAAAGCTACACAGCAAATTCATCTGAGTTAAATTC